TTGCGGGGGTTCAGATCCCATCCAGGGCTTCGAACCTATCCAAACCACCCTTGCGGGGGGTAACCTGATGACATGCGGTCGATCACCCAGGGCAAACCATGCTGTGAACTGGAAGTTAGATTTTCGAAAGCTCGCTGGAATAGAACTTGCTGTTCCAAGAGTTCTTGTCGGTTTCTGCGTGTCTTTCTGGCCGGTGCCAAACCTCTTCGCGGCCTTGCCTTGCACAAAGGGTTGACGGGTTGACAGGCCGTGAACGTTTGTCCACAAACCACCCATGCGAGCACAATTCGATGCTTCCTGTGGCATTCTCACGGAAGGTACCTGTTGGATTGCTCATTGCTAACTGCGTGTTGTGCCAGGCATTCGCTTTCACACTTCGGCCCCAAATGGGCTAGCCACCCCTCCAAGTGAATCCGGGTTGGGTGCTTTGTTTCGCACCCGGTCAACGCACCTGATTTAAACAAGAAGTGACTTGGGCCTTGCTTGCCTCAACCCAGAGCAGCGACCTAGCCTCAAGTGTGGTACATGCAAAAGTTCTTGGGCTTTCAAGGGCAGAAGGGGCCCAATGAAGCCAGTTTCCTGGGCGAACCTGAACCCCGCTGCAGTTGGGCCGGGCCGATTGCAACCTCAATCTCCCCACGAGCTCTGCACGGGGGTGGGGGGGGGGAGTGCTTCTTTCCGTCTTGGTGACCTGCAACCTGTTGGCAGCTCCACTTGTGGGTTGCGGGTTGGATTGGCCAAAACCACTAAACAGCATGTTGGGCTTTCCACTCCCAACAAGTCCAAAGACCGAAACCGAACTCAGGGAGTAAGTCGCCAACCCCGGCCAAAAGGCCCATGGCATTCCTCCCGGGTCCCCCAAACAACATCGCTTCGAGGTCGTGTTCAAACCCCCGGAAGGTGAGATGTTTGTGTGATGTTGGAAATTCCGCAGGTTGGAGAACCCGGAAGGTGAGGTCGCGATTCAGCTTGTGATGTTGAAAGTTCCCAAGGTTTTTGGGCTTGGTTTGGAGGGAAGGTTTGTGTGTGACGTTGATGTTCATTTTGGGGAGGGGTTTGGAGAGAAACCAAAAGGAAAACCAGCATTGCTTGTGGGCACTTTTTGGCACATGTGCGACAACCTGGCCTTGGAGTACAGCTCGTTCCCCCGGCGCCGGAAGACATTGGCCCTGGCACAACTTTTCACAAGCGCCTCGCAAGATCTCTGGGCTAGCTGTTGTGATGGCTCCTTTTGTCTTGTGTATCTCCTTTGGGCGGTTTGGATTAGGGGTTGGGAAACTAGGTGGATCCCCAAGAAAAGGATCTGTAACAAGGTGAGCGCGTTTCGCCCCCCAGGTGAGCTTGTCGTGAAATAAGAAGAACCAATCCGAACTCGTACTAAGGAGTGTTCATGCTTACCGCTCAAAGCCTGTTTGAAATATGGCTTCTGACTGAGGCTGGGCGAGGAGGGACGCAGGTGGTCAAGTCACTAGTCTTGTTGAATGGAATCCCCAAAGCAAGCCAAGTAAAGTAGGGCATAGCTACTCTGTGTGCGCAGCTTGTTTTCGAAGTGTTTGCCTTGTTCAACTTGAAGAGTCTTGCAACCAGCATCTCAGCAGAACTAGCAGACTAGCAGGGTGTTCCGCTCTCGGGCCATTCTGCGCCCACCAAGTTTAAGTTTCTCTCCCAAGTGGTAGGCGGCCCAGTTGTTTTTTTACCATGCTTGGGAGAGGAGTGGCCAACCGCTAAGCGCAATCTTACATGAATAACGGCCAATCCTTGTTTGGGTATAGGGGGTCTGGACTTTGATTTCCCCAAGAAGATGGGACACCTGGGCTGTTTACCGCTGGCTTTACGTAGGTCCGTTTTTCGGAGGTTCGCCCGCCTGTCCAGCGGGCTGGCCGCCTGGGTGGGGGCTCGTGTTCGACGCCAAAAAGGCGTTCGCTAGGAGTCCCTATGGCTCACTCTCTGAGTGGATCTTGCGAACAAACCTGTTTGTGTATCACTAAATGGTCCAAACCAAAAAGTATGAAGTCCGGGGACTCCGTAAGTGAGCGCATATCCAATCCATACAGTTAGCACCTTGAAGGATTTGGGGATCCAGGCGCTAACCAATTGTTACTCACACACTTCCCTTTGAGGAGTCAAGGGAAAACTTGATCCCGTCGCTGTTCAACCGAAACCTGAAAACAGGAAGATCTCCTGAAGCTGGGGATCCCCTCCGGGTGTTAAAAGGGAAACCGGGGGCACGGGTGATACAAAGAAGGTGTCAAACCAGTCCACATAAATCCCGCAGAATCTGCCAGAACCGATTTGCCCGACCCCGCCACAAATAAGCGTTTGCTTCAACTCCACTTGGGGTGTTGCTCGGGGATGGCTTTGGCTCGCTTTTGAAAAGCTCGCACTCAGTGTCTGGGACGTCCGAGGTTCCCAAGCAAGTCTTGCCAGATGGCATGGGCTGGAAGAAATCCAGGCAATGGGACCCCAACCCCAACCCACTTTCAAGTTGTGCCATCCCCCAGTGGCTTGGTGCTTCGGACGTTGGAGAGGGGTCTTCCCCATTTGGCTTCAAAAGGAGCTGGGGTTTCAGCGCAGCCTGCAGTCAGCGTCCTTCCAATTGGTGGTTTGGATTAGCGGTGTGGTGGTTCAAGGGTACATCCTACAAGAACCAGGGGGCCAATCCAAATCCAAAAATCCAAGCCACCTAACCTGAAATTACCCTCCCACCGACTAACGTGGATGTGGATCCCTGTAAAAAGACTGCTTTCCTCTTGGCTGGGGCTTTGTGCACTTCCACTCTCAAATTCAAATCTATCCGAAGCCACCGGTCAATCCGAGCCACCAAGGGATACCTTAGTAAGTCATGGTTATTCAGGGATCCTTGCATTATACACCTGAACATTGCCTTGTAAATGGTGGTTTCCCTTTTTCCACCAAATTGGGCAAAATGTATTTTTTAAGGAGCCCCGTTATTGATTAGCTGATTCGGAATCCACCAAGAACAAGTCTTCCATTTGCTTAAGCCCACCGGGAGGAGAACAAAAACGATTCCCGTTACAAAAAAAAAAAAAGCACTAAAAAATGGGACCGGTTCCCTTTAAAACCAACCGGGGAAAATAACCATTACAAATATTCAGCAACTGGAAGATGTGCTTTCCGGCCCCGAGGGCGCCACCGCAGCTCCGGCGCTCTCTGCTTCGAAGTTCTCGGGCAAGTAGCTCGCCATGGTCGCCTAGGCTCCCATTTAATCTGATGCAACTTTTTGTTGGAGTCAAACTCCCAAAAAAGCACTCCAATGATGTTTGATTCTTTATGGGAGTCAAACCCAGAAAAGGGGCTGCAAAACCTGGTGTTTCAGATCGGATTGTCCACTGCGAGTTGAAGAAACATGGTATTCATCGGATTTTCCACTATAGCATCAACCCCTTTGTGTCTCTCAGTCGGCATGGCAAGCCTGCTTCACACATGAGGGCAGGTTTTAGGTTTTGGGTGTGCCCAATCCGGAGCACTCCACCATTTCCTCTGATAAAGGAGTCCTCACATGTTCAACATCGGCTGAGAACGAGGGTGACCTCCTTGCGGAGGATGCCCGTGAGATATCGCAGCGGTTAGGCTGTTCAGTTCAGAGACTCTTTGTGTGCATCTTGGGCACCCCGACGAAACAATATAGGATACTTGTTGTTTGCCCATCCTATAAACCATAGAGCCGAAAGGTAAACTCTGTCACCACTGGCATGCGCACACTGCTAAAATACATTTGTACAGCATGATGTACATTCTAGCATTTTCTATCTTGCTCTCGGCCATAGAGACGCTAATGAATTCCAGCTTATTGTGTCCGCTCACGCACTGTGGGCAACGTGATGCATGCACAACGCACAAACCAACGCCATACACTTTGGCAAATTCGCCGCTCTCGAAACAGATTTCGTCCTGTGGGCCGCGCCGATTAGCTGCCACCCTGCGTGCGCATTCTGTGCACGTGTTCACTCCCACGATGAGGTGCAGCTAATTGTCTGCTGCTGCACTATGCGGTAGGGATGTAGATCATGACTGTGGCCTATGGGGAAAGCTGATCCAAGAAGGGCTTGAGTTGCCTCCTTTGCTTCCTTCGAGCTTCCCTTAGTTTGCCCGTTTTTGTGGGGGGCAAGCGCAAAGTGCCGGCCAGCTGCCGTCCATTGGGGCGCCTTTTTTGCACGACACCGACCCCTTGGGCCAAAGCTGGCGAAGAGATGCTCATTCTTCACAGCGCGCGGAGTGCCCCAAAATTATTCCGGTCAAGTGCTGATCCGGGTGTGTTTGTTTTTGAGGACCTCCCCAAAATGATGGTTTTCCTTTTGGTGCCCCTTTAAAACCATAAACAAAAATGGCACGCTCGAAAAAAGACACTGCCATACAGACTTCTCATCACTGTTTGCCCGCTTTGGGGAAGATTTTGGCCCACATGCATCATCTTGCGTGCTTCAAGCCCTGCAACAATCTGCAACATGTCTCCGCCTGAGACGACCCTAGTCGTGGCGGAAAAGCAACCCTCCATTGGCAATCACATGTTACAATAACATGCGTGGCTACCTAAGGCCTGTTTCCAAAACGAAACCAACAATCGCACTGTTGGGGGCACCTGCCAACCTTGCCAACTGAGTTGACTTGCCTAAAAACAGTCCATGCATTTGTTTGTTTACTACTGAAATGGTCCGTGCGTTTCAAGTCCAGGAACTCACGGAGTGAGTGATCCCAAAAGACAAAAACGGGGAAACCGGTGCAGACAATGGCTTCAGAACTGGAGGAGTACGTACGCCGGGGCGACACCATGGTTTATGGCGCCAGTCAAGTGAACCCCAGGTTTGACCTCAGGTCGACCATCGCTTCCCCGGAAGCACGACGTCTACGTTAAGACCAAAGTATCCGTGCCACGTCGCGCAACATCGGGAGTCGCGAAAAACCGTGCCTTCCCAGCGCGCACCGGAATGATCTTAACAAGTGGATGGGGCAGCGAGCGCCGCACGGCCTTTGGAACCAATGCGCGCCAAACACGCGGCTCTCAAAGGATTTGGCCTCAGTTTCGCGAGAAGGCAACACCCCCCCTCCGTCAAGGAAGCTCAGCCGTCAAAGCTAGGCTGGAATTAGAACCCCAGCAAACAAATATATTTTTGCCTGGTTAGTGGAAAACAAAGGGACCCCAAAAAAGCAACAGCAAAAAGGGGAGCTAATTCTGGGGAAGAAAAGTTGTCCCCAACAAGAACATCCAACGATCTTCAATTGTAGGTAGGAGGAAGGCTTGCCTGCGTGAAATGCTGGCAAACCCCTCCCAATGTTGAGGGAATTGAGTATGGCGAATTTCTTCTCCAAGTGCTTGGGCCACCCAATCACTTGCTTGGAATTGAACAAGCCGCAATTGGGTTTGTCCCTTTTGATCGAAACTTCGAATTAGCCCTCAGTCGGCAAAGCAACACGCAAGACCGGAATTAAACACCAAACTATTTAGGCCCATGTTTGAAGATGCACAGGGACTTGAATGCAAGTGCACTGGGGGTGCGCAACACAGCAGCTTCCATGACACCAAGACACGTACTTTCGTGTTGCAACACCCCCTGGGCTGTCTTCAGATCCTGCTAAAGGTTTAACTTTTAGTGGGTTAAATGGAAACTACCACTAAACTCGAAACACCTAGAAACCGAAGGGAATGGCTGGGACCCACCCAGAAAACAGATGAAGCAGTTTGACCGTTGGCCCCAGCTTCTCCTAGGCTTCCGGCAGACAGCCTGAGGCCCAAGCCAGCTAGGCGTACTTCTTCTTTGGGCTGATCTGCAGGGCGCGGTTTCCAGGCAATGAGAATCAACCAGGTGACCCAGCTACGGGCGTGGGCTATCCACTTGCTTCACTTCATCTTTCAACGGTCCCGGATCCCAAATCCCAATTTTCACGTAAGGAGCTCGGAGAGTCACTGAGTGAGTTGAGTCCAAGATCCCACAGAGAGTGCGAACTGCATTCTGGCCCAACCTTCTGAAGCCGCTGAAAGGGATGTTTCTACCGTTGAGCGCCCGGCCACGGGCCATGACGACAACTGGATCTGGAGGAGGGGGAAGAGCGAGCGCGTGGCAAACGCCGGCTGGTGATCCCGACATGGAAGCCAAAGCAACTGCAAAATGGATGGCCAGCCGGGCAAAACATCGAGGCCAGGCGATTGACCACCGAAGCAAGCACCCCGAGCTCTTGAAAGACCGAGGGCTTCTGCCTGCTGATGGACATGGGACCGAGCCCAAGGCTTTTTCCAAGGCTTTCCGACCGCCCTTCGACAAGCTCACAGTCTGTGCAAACTGCGCCAAACAACTGGCACAACATGAGCTCTTGCTTCAAGGGTCATCGGGGGAAGTGGACCTGTTGCTGCTGGTGCACTTTTCGTGAGAAAAAGGCCGTCTTGGACAAGGTGGGTCAGCCGCGTGCATGAGCAGCAATTGTTGCAGCTTAATTATGCAGGGAGCTGCAGGCTTTGCATGGCTGCATGGTACAGACAGGTCAGCAACTTTCATGGACATATTCGTAGCCTGAACCAAAAAAGAAAAGCGAGCAAGGGATCTGGACAACTTGCAGGAATTCACACACCTGAACTTGGGCGAGACCATTTTACTCCTTGGTGAGCTCCAGGGTTCCCTGCAAACAATGCTGGGCATCCCGCTCAATGGAGAAACGATCGATGGCAACTTGGCCCCATTTGAAGATCTTCAGGTAGCTTCAGCTGATGTTCAAAACAACCACAGGGGAACTCGGTGGCTTCCTGCTCCCCTGCTAAAAGTGACTAACTTTTAGTTGTTTAATACGGAAAACCCATTAGTTGGCTAAAAGTTGTTCAGTCCTAACATCCCTTGGCAACATGCACCAAAGTTCTGTTTATGAGCCATGCCCCTTTCCTTTCGCACCAGCTGGGGACAGAAAACACTAGCGAGTGGAAGTCACCCGAGTCACCGATTCAGTGATGCACCAAAGGGAAATGGGGGCCTCTCTCTGTCTCTCCAAATGTAGCAACTCCAAGCAGGCGATCTCCTCTCGGTTTCGCCTGCTCTTTCGCCTCGACGGAGCTGACAAAGGAAAGGGTCTCGTCCTCTGCGTAGCCGAAGCGTGCCTCCAGAAACGGCTTCGGCAAAGGAAAGGACGTGGTCAAAACGACTCATAATCAAAACCTGGCACAAAATTGGTGAACATGGTCAAACCGAGTCATAATCAAAAACCCTGGCACAAACTTGGTGAGCATGGTGAACCCAAAACCATGTAAAGACTTGCCAAGTCCGCCGCACGTATTTGTGGTTGGCAGTGTCCCGTTCTGACCTTCATCTACCCGGGTTTTGGATGTGGCTCACATGGGGAATCATGGGCACCCCGGCTTCATAAACCCCCGGTTGATTAATAAGAACACGCCCCCTTTTTGTGGGAATCCGGATCGCTTTTGTGGGGCCCGGCATGGACGAGTTCGCCAACCCAACAACGAGATCCCCTTTTTGTACAGGAACAACGGGCGACGTTGCAACCAAGGCGGGGGGTAATTTGCTCAAATATGCCGCGCAGGTTCCACAGAAAAGGATTGCATCAACATGGGGGAGTACCTCTTCTACCAATCCCTGAAACGCAACAGGACGGACATTTGGAAGTGACAATGGCGTTTTGACACGACAAAGGGCAAAGGACAAAACAGAGGAAACCCGACAACAAACCCATGCACTTTAGGGTGTGAGGGACGGGGCGGCTCCTCATTCGGCCCGCCCTGTCACTGTCAAACAGCACCCACCCCCGGTGGCAGCCACGCGGAAGTTGAGGCTACTGTTGCAGCATGGCCAGTTTAAGAGAAACTAGCGGCTTGTCAAACCTCATTCCCGTTGGAAGCTTGCTGATCAGATTCCGTTTGCTTTTTTGCCCCCTGGAAAACAGGCAAATACTTCCAGTAGTGATGCATTCCCTTTAAACCCAAGGAAACATATATCACATTCTCTTAAGCCAATGAAGGTCAGGCGCTTTCGCTCGGCGCCCAGCGCGGAGCTTAACGTGAACCGCGGATAGAGTGGCTACTTCAGTAGCTACCCCAAAATACCCCAAACAAGAAAGGAATGAGAGACCAGCCTAGGCACAAAACCTAGGAGAGGCATTGGATAACTTCAATATCTAAGGGTTTTTGTACTACGTCCTGGGATTGCGCCCACTGGGAAATGACCCCATTTAGGCATATTTCCGGGATAAATGCATGTTATTTTGGACCATTTTGGGCCATTCCCCAAGGGTGTTGGCTAAGCTGGCCGATGCCTGGCCTTGTGCCGGTTGAAGATGTCCCTCACGGACTCTGCGACCTCCTGGTGCACCTGCCGCGTTCGATTTTTTCGCGCGAAGCGAGAAGCCTGGTTGCGGTTGATTCCCCTGCGAAAAGTGAAGCAAGTTTTGCGGGTCCAACGGGAAATCCGCTGTTTCAACCAACAAATGTACAAGTCCAAAGATCCGACCAAAGAGCCATGAAGAACAGAAGCGCATGAGACGCTGGTTGACATGAGCGGCAACACCGTGGAACCGCGGCAACAAAACCCACACCGTGGCTAGCGCAGCACGGGCTCCGAACAGACTCAGGCACATGGCAATGTACTCCCTTGGCCCCCGACTAGGGCCTGCAGGATTCAAATCAGGTTTTCTGGGTGCTTCTCAAAAATGGGGGGTCCCCTGTTATGATGGTTTCTAGTGGAAACGAAGAGGACACTAACCACCCGGAGCAATCGCTCCCTAATTTTGAGAACCCGTCAAATTACGATTCTCGCATTGGAAAGGGAGGTCCTAGAGGCTCTGCATCGTATCGAAAAGGACTCGGTTGCTTTCTGCTCCCCGGCTAAAAGTTCAACTTTTAGGGGCGGAGTAGAAAACCCACTAGTTGGCAAACAGTTACAGTCCTGACATCCCTTGGCAAAATGCACCAAGCAGGCCTCGTGTTGAGCCACCCCATGCTGCTAACTCGAGCTCTCGCCTGGTCCAAGTACTTCTCATCCACTGGCTTCTGCTGCTTGACCTCCCGGGACATCCGCATCTTGCCTCTTCCACTATTCTAGGGGCATTTTTTCCATTCTTTCCAGGGGATCATTCTTTTCAGGAAACCATCAAAAACCCAGGGGACACAGCCAGTTCCTGAAAAGAACGATGATTGAACAGAATGAGGAATCAACCCCTAGAACTATGGCTTCCCCGGACCCCGGAATAAACGGAGAAGTGCGCTCAAGAATTCGAAGGCGGCCGAAAGTGGCAGGGCCTAGCCTTGCAAGGGCGGCTGTCGAAAACAGACTGGCAACTTGCACGTGCCCCTGAACCACTAGTGGACGTTAGGATTCGGGTTGCCAAAAATTTGAGGTCTTCTCAAATTGGACTCGGTACATTGCCAGTATCAAAGTCACCCAAGCGATACGTCAAAGGGGACCACCCACAGTTCTTGCTGACTTTGATAACCCCCTAAAGCAGAATCAACATCATGAACCCAGAAACAGGGAGCCGGATCGAACGCCTCGAGCGACGCCTCTGGCCTTGATCGGCTGACCCCAGACGAAGCCCAACGGAGGGTCCAGGAAGCCCATCAAAGAACAGCCCCGGCCCCTCAGCAAGGTGCCACTCATCCTGGCGAGAGGTATCGAGAGACGCGACGCGTTGCTGAGTAGGGCCATGTTCGGATATAGGATGTTGTTCTATGTTTTGTTTTGTCTTTTCTTTTTTTCCTGAGGTATAGAGGTCGTATACCACTCACACCAGGGGCACATACTGCCTTACAAGCTTATATTGGTTTCATGTAAGCATTTGCACCTCCAACGCTCAAATAACCAGTTGAACTGTAATGACCCAATGATTCTTCGAGTCTCCCGGCATGAAAACCAGCAGTGCAGTAAGGACAAATCCGCAACGTGTTGAACCTAACGCAACCCTTTACCAGCGCAATTTCAAGCTGAGAAGCGTGGACCTTCTGTAGAAAATCAGTGACCATGAGGCTCAGTGCATGCACAGACCAAGGCGTAAGTGGAAGTCACTCAACAACACGACCAACATCACACCCATAATACCAATTCATCCAAGCAGTTCGCTTCAGCATACTGCGCAGTGCTGATTTCCCCTGCTGGCCGGGCCTCAAGGGTCTCAGAAGGCTCTGGAAGAAGGGGGGGAGCCTGATGGTGTGGTGAATCCACCTAAGGCGCGAGCAACCCCTGCAACTCGACGATTCCACAACAGAAAAAGGGACACCTCCACAGAAACTCGCTGAAAACACAAGAGCCACATCTACCAATCATGCTGAACCCTGTCCCTTGAAAACCAATCTAAAAAGGGCCCCCTCCTAAAGAACACAAAGATACGGGCCTTTGGGGGGGACTCTGCAACATGTTAAAGAAAGCTCTTCTCATCCGTACAACTCAACAAGTATTTTCTTGACATCTCTTGATCAGTTCAAGTTTTCTAAATGCTTCAGTTTCAAGCATTTCGCTCAATTATCTGAGTTGACTTTGTTGATTGCTGACGAACACAGGTGACCTCGAAGGTAACGTCCTTTCAATTCGAGACACCGAATTCCGAATCGTGGCCGCCACCCGGAACTGGAACTGGGTCACTTCTGGTTCTAAGCCGAAGCCCAAAATTGGGCCTATCCCTATCGATCAATACCTCAGCTCTAGAAACCAGCAAAATAGAACTGGGGCCCTATCTTCTTGTTCCATGCTAATGTATTCAAGGCGTGCGTATTCCTTGAGAAAGCCTCTGTTGTTTGGATTGAAAAGGAAACAAAGGTGAACATCACCCATTTTGTGGGGTCCGATTCCTATTTTGAACACCCTTTTCTGGCATGGGCAAGGCCAGGAATACTGGGATAAAACCGCTTGAATCAGATCTGCAGCTTGCAAGCTCTGGCCTTGATGCTGAGCAATGCTAACCCTGGATGAAGTAACTGGTGGTGTCCCACGATTGTGTAGCAAAAACTATGGATATCACTTTGTGGGTGAGGCCCCCAAATTTAGGATGGGCTCTCTACTGCGGGCCCTCATGAGCTCCTACAGAAACTAAGCAGGCGCCGGCACGCTTGCATTCTCCGCGAAGTCTCCCAAACGCCACGTCTGACGTCCGCAGAGCGCAGCCCACTTTGCGCCGCCTCGTTCTTCGAGGCTTGGCTCAGGGCAGCAAGTGCTTGCGCAAGTGCTCGCGGTAGCTCTTGGCCTTTTGCCACAAGAAAGCGACAACTTCCGGCAGAGCAAATGACAAGACACATCTGAATCATCTCAGGCTTCATGGAGAATTTTTCAGGGATCGGACTAACAGGTGTTTGAATACTTAAAGCGGCAATCGGGTAATTAGTAAGTGGTTAGCAACCATGGTTATAACCCAATTCAGACACACTTGTAATCATGGCCTTTGGGGGGCTACCACTATGATTACTACCCACTTACTAAGAACCCGATCGCCCCTTTGCGTATGTTTAAGCCACCCTTGATAATTTTGATATATTCTGATATCCCTGCGTTGCTTGCTCAATCGATTCCGGCCCCCTGAGGCCCGGCCTCCGCGGCAGCTCTCTCCAGGGAGGGGTAGTAGTAGAGCAGCACCGAGGCTCGCGTCAATAGATGCATCATGTAGGCTGCCCAAAGGAGGTCGTTGTTTGCTCCTGCCACGCAAACACTGCGATTTGGAATTGGTAGCTTGGGCGTGTCTCTTTGTTTGAGGGTATGTCATGTTTTTGAGGGTACCCTTTCTGGCAGGGATCGTTTTATATGGACCAGAAAAGAAACCACATCCATGTTGTGGATACCCACCTTCCCCTACAACAAATGGATGGTTCCATTTGTGCTTGCCTATGAAAAAGGGGAAGTATGGTGAAATTGGGCCTTCGAAGTTTTGTCATGCCCCCCCCCCCCACAAAGCTTTAATAGAAAAAAATATGGTAAACTCTCTTGAGAGGATTGGCCTGAAAAAACCCACCTACAATTCTAAGCAAGAATGGCAGAGTAGCAAATCCTTAGTAAGCTCCCTTCCGTGGAGTGGCCGAAAAAAGGCAACTATACATATTCCTACCTCCAGAAGGCCACTTAGTGGGCAAAAGCCCTGGGTCCTGCATGGCCAAGCACCCAAAAGACCACCAGCGCCAAAAAGGTGGCGTCCCGCATCTTGTCTGGCCGGCTGGCGCCCACGAAAATGCCGTCCATGAGGTAGGCCGTGAGAGACCTGCATGCTACTATGGCACACTTGTCGCATCCACACTGCCTGGAGCCTCCATGAAATAGGTCCACGCCTTTTTGGGTAGCGACCCCATTTTTAAGGGGGTCATGGAGACTCTATACCCTATAGGTGTGGATGTACATGGACAAAATCCATCCAACGCACCACCGTTCAGCAGCCCTGGTTTATGACTCGATTCCCCAACGTAAATACCAACAAACGTTGTGGTTTCAACCATGGCTCCATGTCGTGATGCGAAATGGATAGCATCCATCCACACGTTGTCGTATGAACTTGGGGCCCAAGGCAATTGTTGTAAATATGCACAAATGCGCATGTTAACGATATAGTATGTGTGCATGCGTGTTTCCTCAATCCTGGTGTGTGGAAACATGTGGGATTTGTCCTGCAAGTGTGAAGTGCTACGACAACATATGCAGCAAGTACCAAGCCAAAAGCTGACACTGCCGTTGGTAAAACAAATCAAACAACAGCTGCAGGATGAAGAACCGGGGAGTATTGTCAAAAATATTGCCCCTGCTTGGCCCCTGGTGCATTATTGCCACTGGAGGAAATGAAAATAACAATAGCCCCCCCCCTCATGTGACAACCCCCACCCCACCCACATGACCACAGCGGAGGGGCAAAGCAGGGGCGACCCACTGCCAGGGCAGATACGCAGAGGCATAGTCGACGATGTCTACATGCGACGTCAGCAGGCACAGAATTTCTCGGCCGCACGCCACGAAGAGAACCTGAGCTTTGATCGCAACCAAAGCTGAGTTGAGCCAGCTGTCAGAATGTGGGTTTGTCTCCAAACATGGGTGTCTCCAAGGGAACCTCACTTTGGCATTCTTTCAGAAACCACTCCCAAGAGCGTCCCTCCGAACCGGTTGAAGTGCCCAGGTCTTTGCCGGCATTCCCATTGTCCCTGGCTTGAGGCACATTTGCTTGAACACTCCCGTTTAGGTTGCTCGTCAAGCAAATGTTGCCCGACCCTGCCAAGCAGGCTCCCAGGTTATGCACGCGCTCAGTTCGCAGTGTCGAGGGAGTTGCTTGTTTCTCCCGGACAGGCCTTTCCTCTTTCGCATTCTCACCACAAAAGGCTGACCGCACACAAATCAGGCTTTTCCAACAACTCCCTGCTATGAATTCTGGCCCTTGTTTGGCAGTTCCTTTCTTCCAAATGCCCTCGACTTCTGCCAGCAAGTGCTCACAATACCCACAGTGCAAGGCTTGGGGGTCCCTTCCCAGCTTTTGCCACGAAAGGCTCAGTTGCCCTGGACCCAGTCCAAGGTGATCACCTTCTGGGACCCTCACTAAACTGGGCTGCCCTCAGATCCCCCGCCAAAGGTTTAACTTTTGGTGGGTTCAATGGAAAAACTACCACCAAACACTAAAAAGCTGAAGAAAGGCTAAGGAACCGGATATCGCCGGCTAACCGCCGCCCAGTTTATCCATGGACCAAACAACTGGGAGAGCCCCATCCGAAGCGAATCCGCTTCGAACCCGTCAGAGATCCCAGGCCCATGGCTCGGTTCTCTCGGCGGTGTTCGCGCCAACGCCAAAACTGGTTGGGTTGAACTTCGGCATGGGTAGAAAAGACTTCCAGGGTATTAACTGCACAAAGCCAAAAAAAAGTATGCTTCCAGGACCCAACTGTTTTTCTTCCATGCCCAACATTTGCTGGGTATTGTCGGTATTGCCTCCAAGAATCCTTGGGCTGCTTCGTACAACCAACTAGGGGGTAACATGCTTAATTCTACGAACCTCCATTTGCCAAAGTCCCCAGGAAAAACGAGAATAATATTTCCAGTAGTGGTAGATCCCCTTCAAAAACCAACAGGGGGAGAAAACAAGTTCATTTCAGCCAATGGAAATGAAGCAAAGAAACGCATGCTTCGTGAAACCCATTTCTGAAGCCGGTCGGGCCACGGCCGGCCGGGCCGAGGCGCTGTGAACGCCAATGCCAAAGCCACGCCCCACAGCAGCAGAGCCTCCCGCCGGCAGGCGCGCTTGGGACCCCAAATGTGGTCGCTGCAAGGAAGGGACACCCCGCGGCCAAATGGGTGGGACCCCAAAATGGAAAATGGATGAAACCGGCTGGCTTTCCTTTTTGTCGCCTGTTTTAAAAAAGGTACCCCCAAAGCAAGACATACCCGAATGTCTTTTTGGGTCTGTGTGTTTTGAGGGTACCTTTGTTGGACTGGTTTAAAAAGTAACCACAAGAACATGTTGGGCTCCTTTTTGGGCCCCGATTTCGAAACAAACCCGTACAGAGGAAACTGGGGAGCCTTCTTTTGAAGACAACTTCTGGGTGATTCAGTGAACCAAGAGGAAGCCACCCATAGTCTTCGGGGCGAGGTCCCCCCAAGAGCACCACTCGTATTTCGCCGCGGGAAGGCCTGAAAGCCAAGCACATCCAGTGGCTTCCATTGGGGCGGTTTCTGGGAGAGTCGGGCCATCCCTTTTTGGGGACGAAGTGATCGAAGAGAAAATGAGACGTGGGCAGGTTGACCGCATCTCGGTGGCGAAATCTGCTCCCCTGCTACATGCTCTTCTAAAAGGTTTAACTTTTAGTAGTTTAATGGAAAACCCATTAGCTGGCATGAAGTTAAAGTCCTAACATCCAAGCAAAATGCACCAACGACATACAAGGCGTTGCTGTGATGGCCCATCCACTGAATGCCGCCAGCTGCTAGCCTCCCCTAAAGGGACTCCCACTTTTGAATCGGTTGGCACCCATGAAACTTGCCCGCCGCCAACCCGTCCTATTAACAGGGAGGTCTGCTCCGGTGCTCCCCTCAAGTGATGATTCCCCTCTGAAAGGGGACACCCCCCAAATGAATCAACCGGGGTTTATCAACCTCGGGGCTGGGGCTGCATCACCACCTGCGTTCGCTGACAATCATCCGCCCAAACCCCGCAAGTTCCCCGCCTGCAGCACTCGACGCAGCCCTTGCGGCTCGCCCCGGCCGATGGCCTCTCC